CTGCCTGCCTGCCTGCCTGCCTGCCTGCCTGCCTGCCTGCCTACCTACCTACCTACCTACCTACCTATCTATCTATCTATCTATCTATCTATCTATCTATCTATCTATCTATCTATCTATCTATCTATCTATCTATCTTCCATTTTAGTTTTACATCTTAAGCTTTTATTAGGTCATTAATATGCTGTTTTGAAGTTGAAATAATGGAAGCCCCAGTTATTAAAACCTCAGACATTCTTACATGATCATGGAAGAAACCTCAAATATTTCATCTTTAGAGGTATTATTTTTCTGCCCAAACCATTACTATAAAGGCTTAAATTCCTCCCAACTAATACAAATATCTGATCATTTAGTTCCCAGACTGCTAATCTGAAGTATTATACCCATTTATCTACAACATCAAGCACGAGTGAAATCAATGTCTTTTATTTCTATTCCGGAAGAAAAGGAAAGGGAGGGAGGGATGGAAACTGCATTTTGAGGAATAGATAAGTGAGCAAGGTTTTTTGTTACATTTTCCTGCATGCAGCTTCCCCCAAATGGCGTAATTCCTTATACCTGGACACGTTTCTATATTCGCACCCGAAAAGGGGAAGGAATGGGTCAAACAGGCTTAATAGACAACTATTTCACCTACAATCTTACCGGCATTTTAACACTATGCAATGAAATATTAACCCTGCTATCTTTTCTCTATGCCAGCACTGTACGAGAAATTAAGAGCTAAAATCTCAAGTTTGTGCTCAGCATAAAAACCAAGAGAACAGGGAAACCCTTGAGTGTTCTTGAACTGTGACTATCATGCTCTTATTAGCAATGTTGCACGACTGTGCTCCTCATGACCTTGTAAAACGTGAAAAGCAGATGGGTATTTGTTCCTTGACAGTTAGGACACATAGCAATAAGTTCTGATTAGCTGTGATTCTTCAGTGTTTATCTGCAAGATTTAGGTATGTCCACCTTTTATGGGCTGGATATAGATAGGTTACTAAACTCTTGGTCCATGGATATTAATGTGAAAGGTTATCATGTCTTAATACATGAAACCTAATGTGGAATCATGGGAAACATGGCCATGACACTTGTGCAGCTGCTGTATAAGGTAAGAAGTTGAATTCAGAATCAGTATCTTTTTGTTCTTCAGAGTTGCATAATCTTAATGCTTTTTTATGACATAATTTAATATCCCCCGATTCATACTTTTTAACAGGGAGTTTATCATTCATTCATTCATTCATTCATTCATTCATTCATTCATTCATTCATTCATTCATTTCTAATTCTACTGAGTGTGACTGAGATTGGATTCATAAGTGCACTTATCTGAGGGGTACTTGACCTGAACATAATGGAGCTCTTTTTATCTCAAAATGAACTTTTTTCAAATAATAATAATAATAATAATAGTAGTAGTAGTAGTAGTAGTAGTAGTAGTAGTAGTAATGAAATACTGAAGACTATGCAAATGTTGCCTCTCAAGCATGACTCAATGGCTCAAACTATTTGTCTTTTCCTTTTTTCCTCCCGCTTTGTTAAGAAGACAGGATGTTAACATGGAATCTGCCAACCAAAGTCTGGTAAAAGCATTTGTCATTTTGGGTTTTCCTGCTTCTCTAGAGGTCCGTATGTTGTTTTTTGCTCTGTTTTTGGCCACCTATGTCCTCACTGTCACTGCCAATGTTGTGATCATATCAGTCATTAAGATGAACCGTCCACTACAACGCCCCATGTATTATTTTCTTGGCAATTTCTCCTTCATGGAGATCTGGTATACGACCTCCACAGTACCCAAAATGCTGGAAAGTTTCCTGGTTGGTGGAAGTAGCATCAGCGTGGCAGGTTGTATTGTGCAGCTCTACCTCTTCTTCTCCCTGGGCTCTACTGAATGCTTCCTTCTGGCCACTATGGCTTATGACCGCTACCTGGCCATCTGCCATCCTCTTCATTATCCAACCTTTATGACTCTACATCTAACTATTTGGCTGGCGACAGCAGCCTGGGTCTGTGGATTCCTGGCTCCATTGCTTCCCATCCTCCTCATATCGCAGCTCTCCTTCTGTGGGCCTAAGGAGATCCATCATTTCTTTTGTGATGCTGGGCCTCTGCTGAGGAGATCATGCGGAAATGCCTTTCTCAGTTCTACACTGGTCTCTGTGTTGGCCTCCGTGGTCATCCTGAGCACGTGTCTGCTAACCATGGTTTCCTACATTTTTATCATTTCAACCATTCTCCACATCCCTTCAGCCACTGGGAGGCAGAAAGCCTTTTCCACCTGTGGATCACACCTTGCTGTGGTGGTGATTTATTATGCCACAGTGATCTTTATCTATGTACGGCCCATCTCTCCTTCTGTTTCGAATCTGGATACAGTGGCATCGGTCTTTTATGCTGTAGTGACTCCACTGCTTAATCCAATGATTTATAGTTTAAGGAACAAGGAGGTGAAGGATGCCCTTAAAAGGTTGGTGAGAAAGAATAAGGTGCTAAGGATATTGGATCATTGATCATGGATTCTGGGTAAAAGAGCGTTACAAGTAGTCCTCATTTAGGGACCACCATTGGGAGTGGCAACTCAGTAATTAAGCAAAGTGGTCGCTACGTGGGGAATCATGCAATTGTGACTGGGCTGATGAATTTATTTCAGCTTTCATTTTCCCTGGTCCCTTTGGAATGCCCACCCCTGTGCTGGAATAATTAGCAAGAAGGGAAGTAATGTTCCTATCTACATTCAGTGGAGGGGAAGGGATTACAAGAGAGTAAACAGAAACACAATGGGGAATACACATAGAAAGGAATGCCACGAACGTGCTGAGCAAGCAGCTGGTATATTCCCCATTGTGTGTCTGCTTACTCTCTTGTAATCCCTTCCTCTCCAATCTCTCCGTTTTGTGGGGGAGGGGAGGAAAAAAATAGGTTGTCTTTTGGACAAGACAATAGCATGACTGATCACGTGACTGAGGGATGCAATGAAGGTCATAAATGTGTGCCTTGGTCAAATTTTAATGGTCACTGCACAAGGCAGTCAGTAAGCAAAGTCTACCTGTTTACAACTGAGGGGAAAAAAATGCTATTTGATTTCAATGTGCCAAAATTCTCTTTTCCTTAACCCTTCCATCTCAAGCTTTGTTTTATTTTAATTCCCTTGGTCCAGAGCAGTCTTCCCTAACTACTATTTCTAGTATCCTTGTCATACTGTTTGGGCTACTGTCCTAGTTCAGACACCTCTGATGGGCCACCAGTTCTCCCAAATGATATTCCCAAGAACTTTTGGGAATGAGAAACTTTCGCAGAATGATCTAGGACTAACATGAATTTTTAGACTAGATTAACCATATACATTTTTAAAGTTAATGAATATTTAAGCTCTCAATCTCCTAGGAATTATCAAAAATATTTCCATTACAAACAGTTTCTTGAACAAATAATTTTTGTTTTCTTGTGGTTTATTGTCCATGTTTTATTAAAGGGGGAAAAAACAAAGAAACATTTATCTAAAGGTGAGAGCCCAGAGGCTGATTATCTTAGTTTCTTGCTAGCTGACCAGGTGGCAGCGATTTCAGGCAATGTAGCCTGGTTTGGAGTTTGATCTATGATGAAATGTAAACACCTGCTGCAAGTGAAGTGCTGCCATGTCTTAACTAGGCTTCCAAAACTCAATATATTTTGTCCTCCTTTGCCCCCCTTCCCTCCCCGCCCCCCCTTTTGCCCCCCCCCTTCTCATTTTAAATATATACCTATACTCTATGTTTTATTTTGCTATTTCTTGGCTGGGACATAATGGTCTTAAATCCAACAAACCCTAGCAGGCCTTCAGCGTGACTTAATATAAGTTAACGTAGCTTTACATTCTCGTAGTGTTTTATAAATTCTAGTATTACTGAGGTTCCTTTATACTTATTTGCCTCAGTTTATACTATTTAGGTTATTTATTATAAAATTAGTTATAATTTTACAGGATTCTTTTGCATTTTAATACCTGTACTTTGCAATTTTCCCTTAATAATCTCATCTTTACCTTATTTTATTCTCTCAATACAACTATTTGTATTTCTCTTTTAGCATAATTGTTATCTTATTAGTTACATGCTGGGCTATGAGTGAAATAAAAATTGATTGACTGGTTGATTATTTAAAGGTTTTACAATACCTCTGTGGATTCTCCTTATATTGTTAATAAAAATTTATCAAAATATTTGTTCTGCAGCAGTAATGATTCAATGGCTGTTCATTCCTTTCTTAATTGTTCCTCACTTCATCCACATTGTTTACAACAATTTGAACATTAGCATTTCACTGCAATCCAAAAACAAAGAAATGACATATGAAACATATAACCCTTAAGCAAATATGTAAGCTGTCACATCATCCAAAAGGACAATTCCCAGCTTCTGTTCTAGGAAAGCGACTGCCAATTGCTTTCCCTCCTGTGGGTGGGTTTCATGTCTATGTGAGGATGTACACAAACTCACACACACACACATGCCTATATACACATACGTGTTTGTGGGTGCATGTGCATGTGTGCACATGGGCATATATAAAGATATATAAGCATACTTATATACACATATATAAACACACACACACACACACATTATAATATACATATATGCAGGAACAACCATCAACTTCAAATTAAGAATCCCTTTCCATCCCACTACACTTTAAGAGCACATGCCTATATACACATACGTGTTTGTGGGTGCATGTGCATGTGTGCACATGGGCATATATAAAGATATATAAGCATACTTATATACACATATATAAACACACACACACACACACATTATAATATACATATATGCAGGAACAACCATCAACTTCAAATTAAGAATCCCTTTCCATCCCACTACACTTTAAGAGCTTCAGTACCTCTGTTTACAGCAATGCTGAAATATAATAATGGCTATGATCTTTGTGTTATCTATAGAATGTTGCTGGTTTGAACTTCTTTTACTACTGGAGAAATTACAAAATTATTTATCACTGGACTTATTTTAAAAATTGCCAAGGGTAAGAAGTATCTACTGTAGCTCAGGAGTCAGGACCAAATAATAATAATAATAATAATAATAATAATAATAATAATAATGATGATGATGATGATGAT